TGTGTGTGTGTGTGTGTGTGTGTGTGTGTGTGTGTGTGTGTGTGTGTCTGTCTGTCTCTGTTTGGCCTGTCCCAATATCCTGACACAAGAGTACATGAACACCAACTAGCAACAAAAAGACACAAGCAATACTCGTTTTCTGATGAAGGGTCAAGGCCCAAAACATCAGCCTCTCTGCTCCTATGATGCTGCTTGGCCTGCTGTGTTCATCCAGCTCTACACCTTGTTATATCAGCAATACTCGCTCGTCTCCATTCACACCGATAAGGAGAACCACCAGTTCCATTGGGATACCACCAGGATCAACCACAGCAGGAACAAGAAGAAATCAACGAAACACAGCCCTGGCTCCAGTCCAGATCCGCAGTGAGATTCTCAGTTCCCTCAAGGAGCGTGTGGGTATGTTAATTTCCGATGTCAGAAATTGCTGGAAGATCTCAGCAGGTCTGGTAGCATCTGCAGAGAGAGAGAGTAAGCAGGGTTAATGAGTAGGGTCCCCGGACCCGAAACGTTAACTCTGCTCTCTCTCTCTCTCTCTCCACAGAAGCTGCCAGACCTGCTGAGAATTTCCAGCAATTTCTGTTTTTGTTTTGTTTCATTCAGATTCCCAGCATCCGCGGTCCTTTCACATTTTCAGTGCATCATTCAGCAGCTGGCCCCTTTCAGTGTCCAACAAGGAATTTCCCCCTTTGAGAGACAGAATTCACAGAGATGGCGTAAATGGCTAATTGCTCAGAACTTTCTGTTATGACTCCACTCTGGGAACAGAGATTTTTCTCCTTCCTAGGCTGCATTTTTTACGATGCACACGGACACACGGACACACACACACACACACACAGAGACATACAAACACAGACACACAAACACACACACACAGACACACACACACACAACCAGTCCTGCTTCAAAAGCTGCATCATCGTTGTCTTGTTTCCTTGGTTTAACTTCCAACACTCGATTAAAATGCAAATATCCAACAAGATGGGGTGGGGGGGGGGGTGTGGTGCAGGTTGCGGGTGGAAGCAGGAGCACGGGAGGAGGCCATTCTGCCCATCATGCTGAGGAAAGAAATTCCAAATTTACTCCTACTGCAGCCTTCTGGAGGGTAGAGTCAGGAAAGTGCAGCCAAACAAGCTTTATTCCTCATAGACAGTACACACTGCTGCTAGTTAGCAAAAATAGTGGAAGGAGTTGACGTTGAAGGTGGAGGCGATGGCCTAGTGGTATTATTGCTGGATCCAGAGGCCTAGGGAATGTTCTGGGGGATCTGGGTTTGAATCCTGCCAAGGCAGATGGTGGAATTTGAATTCAATACAAGTCTGGAATGAAGAGTCTAATGATGACCATTGTCAGAAACCCCATCTTGTTCACTCATATCCTTTAGGGAAGGAAACTACCATCCTTCCCTGGTCTGGGCCTACACGTGACTCCAGGCCCACAGCAATGTGGTTGACTCTCAACTGCCCTCTGGGCAATTAGGGATGGGTAATTAGGGATGGGTAATAAATGCTGCCTGGACAGCGACGCCCTCATACTGTGAATGTAAAAGACATCAAGCGGGGGCTGCTTTGTCCTGGATGGTGTCGAGCTTCTTGAGTGTTGTTGGGGCTGCCCCCATCCAGGGGCAAGTGGGGAGTTTTCCATCCCACTCCTGACTTGTGCCTTGTAGATGGTGGGACAGGGTTTGGGGGGAGTCACTCGCTGCAGGATTCCCAGCCTCTGACCTGCTCTTGTAGCCGCTGTGTTTATGTGGTGGGTCCGATTGAGTTTCTGGTCAATGGTGACCCCCAGGATGTTGATAATGGGGGGATTCAGTGATGGTAACGCCATTGAATGTCAAGGGGCGGTGGTTAGATTGTCTCTTATTGGTGATGGGCATAGCCTGGCATTTGTGTGGCACGAATGTCACTTGTCAGCCCAAGCCTGGATGATGTCAAAGACCAGCCACATGGAGAAAGGGGGTTAATAGGGGCAAAAACACACGATTGGGGAACTTCCCACGCTTCAATCGAACAGCCCATTTTCCTCACATTTCCACACGAGCCGCACTGACGAGGCAAGCTGCCCATTCCAGACGACCATGGCGACAGATAACTGCTTTATAACCGAACTGTGCAATAAATCCCCGTTTAATTGTGTCACACCAGAGACAATACTGTGTCGGGGTTGTAACTGTACTAAAAAATTGGCTGCTTTTAGACTTCAGTTCCGACAGTGGGTGGAGCGAGGCCTAGTTTCCAGACGCTCCAAATGAGGCCTGTCTGCCTGCCATTTTGGGAGTAGGCCGCATGGAGGACTGAGGGGAGAAGCAGCCCAGGCCCCAGATGTTACTGTATCTCATCAAACTGGAACTATCGTTAGAAAAAGATGACTTTTGGTCACAATAAACGATTATTAATGAATAAAAAAAGTGTGAGTTGCTCGAGTCCCTGCCTGGTTATTATTGGCGGTCAAAGAGAGTGACAGACGCAGAGACAGAGAGAGCGAGGGAGCGGGAGAGAGGTGGGGAGACAGGCAGAGAGAGGGGTTAGGGAGAGA